TCAGTGGAATGTCCACTCCCTCGGCATCTTCATCTCGTCTCAAACGTCGGCTGCTGCCACGTTTGACCGTTAATCAGGCCAGATAAGCCGGGTCTTTATAGGCCGAGCAGATTTACACCGCTCTGCTGGCCTGTTAGACCGCATTCCCAGCAGAGACGGTGGGATAACGCACTCACATCTTCTAGGTGGGGATAAGCTGGCCTAAAGGGGCCTCAAGGCACACACATGTACACACACAGGACTCTACTGTACCAGACGAGCAGGAAAAGTGTGCTCAGAGCAGGTGCAAGCTGTCTCTCTCTCTCTCTCTCTCTCTCTCTCTCTTTTGCTCTCTTAAGAAAACACACATATATTAAAAGCGCGTACAGAAACCAAGCATGGTCATTATCTTAATGATAGATGAAGTGTGTCACGGTGAACGCGCAAGCTCCAGTGAAATAAATAACACAAGCTCTTCCTGCTGCAAAGGACAACAACATTAACATAACACCAAGACAAATACTACTGTCGATTACTGCTGACGCGAAAACGTTACCGTATATATGAGCCTAATGATGATCCACAATCAGGCTGGATCCTGCACGTCCAGCCTCCCCTGTGATGGATTTAGCTCTGGTTATGAGTTCACAGTCTGAAACAGTGTGGAGCTCATTTGAAGTATTTTTTTAATGCTTGCATGATAACACACATCAGCAAGAGAGCGTTGTGTAAAAGCTAATCCAGACTAAGGTAAAGTAGATGTTTTCTCCTTGATGTCGGTTCTCACTTTAGTCATGCATGCCCACGCACATGTCACTAATAGAGTTGGCTAAAATATTTATGATGTAATCAGGAGACAATATGTGAAGCGGCACCGCAAACAGGCGGGCCAGGGAGAAACTTGGAGCAGACGCCCCGAACTGCCCAAGGTGTTTTCTGGAGACATGTGGGTGTAATAAAAGCACACGGAAATATGTCTTAAATTCCACTTGATGTGTAGTTACAGGAGTACCCCCCCCCCTTCACTAAAACTGTCGCTTGATAACATCACAGGCTCCATGCTTCCCTGCATTCAGGCTTTGAGGGAGAGTTCACAAATATCGATTGAACTGCTGCAGATCAAAAGAAACACATATGTGAGATTTAATTAAGCATGGATTTTTTTTCCTTTCAGAGGGGGATGATATAAAAAAAAAAGCTATTTTTACTGTAAGAATAAATCATAGCTTGGGTTTACTTTCTTCACATAAGAGAGATTTAGCTTTTTATCTTTTGAAGTGTTTTAAAACTTTTAACTCTTAAATAAGTGCTTCAAATAAGAACCATATATATGCAGATACTCATTAAAAAATGATGTGATTAATGTGATAATAAATGTAAAAGAAAAGAATGGATTTTTAGGAAAGGTTCATTAGTTCCAACTTCTCTGTATCGTGCTGTCCTTAGCAAACCTCAGCTAGATCACAAGAGATGATTGGTGCTGAATTGATTCCTTATTTCCCACAATGCCTCTGTGGACCTCCAGGCAGAAGTTCTCTGAAACATTGAGCTTGTTGCATGTTAAGAGCAGACATTGTCTTCAGTAATGTCACAGTCATCTGTTTCAATGAGGAATCAATCAGAGATATGGCAGCACACCAAACTGAAAAACAACCACAACACATGGAATGATTTTAGAAAACAAGTCGCTACAGGAAATGTAGGAAATGACAAGCGAAAGGAAAAAAAAAAAGATAAGTAACATCCAAAATAATAATAATAATAATAATAATAATACTATCATGGGATTATGTGCTTCTGCTGCTACTGATCCACAAGATGGAGAAACAGCGTCTAGACTGCCTCATGCATCATCCCCTTAGATTAAATGTTGCTTTGGTGTTGCCAACATGTGACTTGATTTATTAGGCTAGCTTTATTGCATCATTTTTTTTGCGGTCAACAAATCAGATCACAACCAACAAAATATAAGACTGCCATCTCCTCCTAGCACAGTGGTCCTTTTGAGCTCCTTAATCTTTGAGGACAAGTTACAAATAGTCTAATTTTTATAACTCATACAATCATTCCCTAAAAACTGCTGGCAGAGGGAGTAAACTAGACAGTTTTCTAGATTGGATTTAAAACATTTTGTGGTTTTTTAGAGTGTATTTAAGGAACATTTTACAGAACAGCTAGTGTCACTGTTAATTATAATACAGACACATGTAACATTGTGGATGTGCTTTATTCGTTTTTATTGACAACAATGGAGGTTTTGTGTCAAGGGGTATAATTATATTGTGCTTTGACTTTTCTGTAAATGTGTATCTCTAGGATCAATTGTTGTCTTGAATCTTTTCATGGGATTTGTTGACAATAAAATATCAAATGTCAACAGCCCTACCCTTTACAGTCAAATATGAAGAAGCTTACAGAGGATTTCACTGGGAATCAAACTGTCCTTCATGTAACTAATGATGCCTTGAGGCAACATTCAATGACTGTATGATGACCAGAGCCTTTATAAATACCTTATTATGTATGCAGCATTACACAGCAGTGTCCTACGGGTGCTTACAGATTTGACACTTTACTTAACAACATGATATTTCGAAACTGTTTCCAGGGTGACCAAGCAGAATATATGTCATAAGGAGCTCTGATCTAGAATGAACAACAAGAATTCCATTCCACAGTTTATAAATCTTCATCCAGATCTCTAGTTTGTCCAGTTGTACCTGAAGGACTGACAGAGTGTTGGCTGCTCTTGAGTTTACTCTTCAAAGATACACCTGTGAATTTATTTTGTTGTTGTTGCTGTTTTGTGATATAAAGCAACAAATTGCAATGACCTGCCTTGGCGACGGTTGAAGACAAATCTAGGTAGGTCAGAGACTTCCACTTTTTTATTGGAGCATGATTTAAAAGAGTCTGGAGCTTTATACACTTTAATTACTTATAATAAGGTGTCTCAGAAACATGCTGAGTATGACAGAAGGGAAGTGTATAAGATGTCTTAAGACAAATTGTATGCAGCATATTTAGAGAAGTGTATATAATAATACCCAGAAGGGAAAACAGTTGATTTACAAGTAAATATGCTGCAAGAAGAATTATCAGCATTATGGGCATTACAAGTTCTTATCAGGCAGACTACCACACTTTTAGATTCTTCTCCATGTAATGCTTTCTTGGTCCTTTGTCAAAAGGAAAAATGTATTTATGGTACTAATTACAGGAGAAGTGGAAATTAGCCCTATAAGTAAAGCGACTTTGCAGGTCCCTTACCTCTGGGAAATAAGAGTCTCGACACAGAGAATGCACTGCAGCCTCCTGATAGCACCTTGAACTGTGCATCACTATAGCTGAAGCAAACTTCCTCAACTCAAGGTTGAATTCACAGAGGATGTTACGCTTCTGATGTTCCAGCACAAACAGGCCCATAAGGTTTTGCAGCTCAGCGCAGTTTACTCTTGTTATGCATCTGATTGTAGAATGGAGCTGTCAGCACCTCGGCTCTCTGCTGCGGGGAGCTGTGCTCTCATGTCAACAGAGTTTAGTTCCATACACGTATATAGATGATGAGTTGAGAGGGGAGAGGGCTTCCTCTTGTTCCAGTTTCTGGTGACGCCCAGACTGGACAGTAAGGATACTATGTTCACCTTCTTTAACACAACTTTCTCCCTGGAGTGAGGAATCAACAGCAGCTTTCCAGGATGAAAAAAAAAAACATCCCTGAGTGTTTCCACACTGTGTCAGAATATTATTTACAAAGTGTGTTAACAGGTGAGTACATATCTAAATGTTTCCATAAGGTGTCATTATTATAAAGACCGATACCTGACACCTTTGTAAACAAATCACAGCAGTTACCACCAAGTATCATCTCTCTTCACTTCAACTGTGCTATTAGTCCTGGTGTTTGTTTTGTAATTGGATTTTTTTTTTTTTTTTTTTTTTAAATAAAGCCAAATTTAAAGAGGACATATTATCCCCCTTCTCCACCTTTTCAAACAGTCCCCTGTGGTCTAAATGAAACATCTGTGCTGTGCTTTGGTCAAAATATAACATGAATCAAGCACCAGAGGAGGTTTGTGACCCCTGTATAAACCAGCTCTCTCAGAACGCTCCGTTTTGGTGTGTCTGTCTCTTTAAATGCAATGAACCCCCCTGAGTTTTCCCAGTAGACATCACTCCTTTGCTAGCGAGAATAAAAATGGCGGACCTGCGCAAAAGTTTTGTTCTAGGCTGGAGGTGGAGTTTATGGGTGGAGATACCAGGGGAGGAGAGGGGATTAATTTACCAGAATCCAACTTGTGACATCACAAGGAGAGCACATTTGAAACAGAGCATTTTTCTCTGTGCTGTAAGACTTATGCAGACCACAAACAAAGGACTGGATGGGTTTATTTCACATTTTGTGGGTCAGTAGACTCTCAGGCTACCCAAATATATGTTCAGAAACACTGTAGAAGATGATTTTTCATAAAATGTCCCCTTTACCACAAAGGGGAAATTTGACCCTTGAATTCATACATGGATACAGCCATGGAGCACCAAGATGCTTTGCTCTGCAGTTAAGTCTGGAATACATTGTACACTTCGCAGCTGCTTTTAAAATTAGTTGCTTTCCTTTAACGCGTCTGAGCAGCTTCAGTGACCACAAAGACTTTGTATTACCCTCACAGCTTTATGTCCAGCTGACCTGCTTTTGCTTTTGTAATTCAAAAATGTATTAAGTTAAGAAGCACTTGACTAATATGAATTAAAGATTGGGTTTGTATCCTGACCCACAATTCCTGCATGAATGCCAGCTACCTCTGTGCCATACACACAGCACGGCACCTCCAGTTGTTGCTATGGAGCCACTGCAGCAGCCATTAATATACAGTTTTTAGAAGGAAACTCCCGAGTGTGACTGTGTGTAACTGAGTGTGAAACAGACATTATTACTCAGATTGTTCAGCCATGCTTCTCTGGTTAAATGAAGGTGAGAAAGCTAAATATGAAGCATAAATCATCCTTTGTGACAGACTTACAGGTGATGTAGTAGTTGACGTTCTCTTGAACTCCAGGCCCATGTAGTTCGGGCTGAACTCCTGGAATTTGATGGTGAACTTGATGTCCTTCTCTGGCTTGTTACAGTTGACCAGGACATTAGGATCCAGGACTGTACTGCAGCTCTCTGCCTGCTCCCTTTTCACCAGATACAGTTTGAAGAACTCATAGTCTCTGCCCTGGTCTGCCTTGGGACAGATGATGTCCAGTTTGTCCCCGATGTCGGGGTAGATTATTAGGCCCTTTCCAGCCAGAAACCTGAGGGAGAAGGGGGGGGGGAGGACACAGTGTTACCATCACATAAAGGAAGTCTTGAAAAGCACCTACATAATTCAACAACAGTTTATACAGGCGTAATACTTTGAGCTGGAAGAGTTATGGGTTTAGATTTGTCTGGCATGGGCTTTAGGCAAAGTGTAGTTCATTTGGCTCCACTAAAAACTCTGCATGTCGCAGCTTGACAGCATTCAGCGATTGTCTACAGACCGTTTCACACAAATCCTCTAAAGTTTCTTTTCATTCTTGGATCTGAATCAAAGCATACCGAAAGAGTGCAAGGAGGGAAACAAAATGGCCTGACACAAAATGGCTGCCCCAGAAACGACTACAGATAGGATTACATCCAAAGTATGCCATAGATTATTTTTTCATATTTTTGGAGTTCCATATAAGTCTGGTTGCTCCTCATAATTCCCTTTTCGCTCCCACTTCAGAGGGCTGCATTTCTTGGAGGAAAATATTGCTCGGGGGTCAGACGGGAGGTTAAGGCTTCCGGGTTCATCTTCCCTCTGCCATGATCATCGAGTAGAGGATTTAGATAATCCATCTGGCCTTACTGTACCTCTCCACCTCGCTCTCTGCTGCCAACTCAATCAGATCAGCGCTTGTTCTCTTTTATTCACAAAAGGTGGGGAACAGGAGGAGACCCACTGTGTGTGTGTAAGTGTGTGTGAAAAGAGGGGGCGGGGGTATCTGAGTACTTGCAGTGTGTTTGGGCAGTGGTGTGTATGTTTATGCCCGTCTGTGTGTGTGCGTGTGTATGTGTGCGAGTCGGTCAGCAAAATGGGCTGAGGTTGCGGTCTGATGGGGGGGCAGACGGGCTGAATCATTGTTCTGGACTTGTTTGAGGCTTAAAATGTCAACATGGTTCAGCTCTGCTGTCCCAGTTAGCCAAGCATTAACCCAGACAGCCGGACTGACCACGGGTGTGTTGATGTACTTGTGTGTATGTGTGTGTGTTGTGGTCGCAGACAGCGAGCACAGCAGCGGGGCTATCTGCTAGATCTGCCCATGCCAGCGGATTTAAGCAGGATTTAGCAGCGCGCAATGCATGTGTTGTTCTTTCTGATCCCTTGTGTTTTAACAAGACATCAGGGGGCCGGGCCCCTCTCTGTCTCTCCCTTCTTTTTTTCTTTCAGAGAGCAATCTCACCTTATCTAAAGTCCCTCATTTCATCATCACACACATCATTTCACCACTAAATAACTGGCTCTTCAGACAGGCCGGGGAAGGGAGGACTCTGATGCCTCCTGTAAGAGACTGATAGAGGAGTGTGTGAGAGTGTGGGGGGGGGGGGATTACAATCGCCATCCTTCCTCATCTGATGTTAAACACTGGCTAACGGCCAGCCATTGTAGGAAATGATCATTTAAAAAGTCCCATTTTCTGAATAAATACCCCCCCATGAAAATGAACATGATTGGATTAACATTCAAGGCCATTCTTCTTGGACAGGGACATTAGCAAATAAATGACTTCATTCACAAAAGAGATAAATGCAACATGAAATTTGCAAAACGCTCAAAATCCCATCCGTCAGGCCCCCCATTTTTCCCCCGAAATATGATGTCATGATAGCGAGTGTGGATTGGATCTCTAATACAAGGCTTGGGAGCCGGGTGAGACGTTATTTCCACGCTATTGTCTGATGATCGTGGGGGTGAGGAGGGGGCCCGGGGTGAGAGGAGGGGTTGCGCTAATTCAAGGGCTGATAAGAGAGAGAACGCCGGGTAGCCTTTGTCCAAGCCACCCTAACAATTTGCTGCCTTTCAGGAGCGACACTCTGCATATGCCTGTGTGTGTCTGTGTGTGTGTGTGTGTGTGTGTGTGTGTGTGTGTGTGTGTGTGTGTGTGTGTGTGTGTGTGTGTGTGTGTATCCATAGGCCTACATATGTTTTCATGCATACACTTGTGTGTGTGTCTGTGTGTACACCATGCCAGGGTACACGTGCGTGTGTCTATGAAGACACAGACACAATCAGTCTCTAATTGGATCTACAAGATGCATCAGTGAGGCATAAACAAGTTTCCATGGCAACATTAGGCTTTGTCGCTGACCACCCCCCTCTCTTCCCCATTTTCTCTCCATTCCTCCCTCGATCCCCCCAATCTCAGCCCCCTCTATTTCAACTCTACAATCTCATTCCCTCTAGCTTTATCCTTCCCTCTCATTCACCTCCTCAACATCTCCCTCATTCTGTCTTCTCTTACCCGCCTCTCCATCCTCCCCCTCACCACCCCCACCCCCCCCAAACACACACATGAAAAACACCTACAGAAAAACAAGCATCAAACACGAGAGGGGGGAAGAAAGACCGGGCAAACATCACAATCAGATGTTGATTCGTTTCACTCTACAAGTTGGAGTTTTTTCTTTTTATTTGTAAGCGTTGTCAACTTTTTTCAAATGTTTTATCTCACATGTTAAAAAATTACTTCAACACCCGTTGCTCAAATAAAACATTGAGCCTTACACCCCCAATTCTTGTTTTACAACCCATTTATTCCATTATCAAAGAGCCATAACAATTTAGATGAATAATTAAGATTTCCAAAATCATAATATCTTAATATCCCTGAAGGATTTAATCACAAGCCGGCCCCTGTCATTGATTCAATTTTCCGAGCAGGCCTCCTACTTGGCGGTTAGATAGCTATCCTAAGTGAATTCTCTGCTTCTGTTTCCCAGCCTTTGTTAACTGTCTGCTATAATGAGGCTCTGGCTGCTGTGGAGGTCTGGAAGCGCCATCGCAGATGGGAAAGAAGCAACATAAAAGAAATAGGGCAGCAATTAGTGTTTAGCCCAGTTTAAAAGCCCTCCACTTGGCAAGCTGCAGCCCAGCTCCAGTCCAGGATGTGAAACTAAACTGGTGGGTTGGGACTTTGTCTCCCGTTTGTCTCTCTGTTGGCTTAATCAGCGCCACTCCGGTGTTATACACAGCCACGCAATGGAGAGGAGGAGACGAGTGACTGAAGATTATTGTACTTTTGAGAAGGTCGAAAGGGAAAAGGGGGGGAAAGAGAGGTTGAATTGCGTCTTTCATTCATGTTGTCTGGAGACCTGTTGATGGAAGAAGTTTGAGTGCACAGAGGAAGAGCCGCTTGGATACAAACGATGTTTCTGGGAAATGACCCTGAACGGGAGAGCGCCTTTATTCCCCTCATGTCAAACGACGTGGATCTGCCTGGACCAAACAAAATAAAGAGAATCATTTTCAAAACAACCAAATGAGGTTGGTTTTGTTTCATCTGGATGGCTCCTCAGCGTGCTCAATCCTGTAAAGAGCTTATACAAACAGGACTGAGCTACAGCACAGCAGAGAGAGAACAGAAAACAACGAAGCGGAGGAAAAAGAGAGGAGAACCCCCCCACCCCTCTCTTTTTACATTCCACTGGTGAATATGAGCACATGATCTCACATATGCTACCGCCCCCCCACCACCTCCCCGTACACATACACACACACGGATGTGAGAGCACACAAAAGCACTGTGGGGTGCATCCTGGACCTTCCCAGCACAACTTCCCAGCCACCCCTATTCAGACGCCCTGCCCTCACCAACTTTCATATAAAACGCCGCCTACACTCAGGCCCACTCAAAGCCCCTTACAGAGCCTCAAACCAGCCCTTCCCCCAGTGCTCTCCACCCCCGTCCAGTCAACTCAGGCCTCTGCCCCTTGCATAGCACTGGCAGGCTGCCTCGGCCGCTGAATGAACGGACCCGAGACACAGGAACTGTGAAAGAAAGAGGCAGAAACGGCTCATATCCTCGGAATTGTGTCAAATTGATGTGTTCCTCCTGAGCACCAGCAGGAACAGCCATACATATGAATTCAATTCAATTATCCTGAACTACATATAGAGAGATCCCTATCCATACAAGGGGGACATGCCAACACACTGGGGATGCAGGCATACCTTTGTCTTTTTCTACATTTCAGCAGCCCGGCTCTTAATCTTTCTCTGGCCTTTAAAAACACATAAGTGCATCATATGAAAACAAAGACACACTTCGGACCTCAGCAGCGCAACAGGTCCTCTATTCCCCTAGCTCTCAACACGTAATTATCACAACAGGAAAAGTGTTCCCTCACCAATTATCATATCTCTCTTACATTATACACAAATTCTCCCACTCCCCCTTTTATTACAGAAGACACTTCCCATACAGACCCCATATCTTTAAGCCCTTTCCATCAATATTCCATACGATAGATTTTATGGCTCCTTTGGAAATATGACAGTAATTCACCCACATGACAGGCTAACAGTTGAGTCTGTAAAGAGCACAAAGCCGTTTTATGCAAAGAGCATTGTCGCTGAGCCGTTGGGTTATATATATATAATGGTGGGGATTTACCGCCGATTCACTAGCCTGAGGCCGTCTGTGTTGTGTGTAATCACAGGGTACAAATGCATCCTGTTCTCATTCAAGTCAATCAATATTAAATAATTGTCTGCTAGCAGGAACGGTTTCAGTCTTAAAACCGCTTTCAGATCCATCAAGATAGAGCCACACGCTGGCTGGGCCTCACAATGGAAACATTCAAGCAGCAGCTTCTGAAATGGTTTCCCTCTTGATGTGTGGTTAAGATCCTCCGAGAGATGTTGACACAGTGTGATCATTTCATTCTAGGGAGAAAAAGCACGTATCATCAAACTGTCAGTGTGTTTGCACGGCTCTGGAGAGACTTCCCCCACATTTATAAAGAAGTAGGGTCACATGAGGTGTCGGCTACACGACTTACAGGTCTGAAACGGGTTTGACCAGTATTCCTGTTGGATTTTAAGAAACACTACGAGAAGCAGAGCTGGTCATAGTTCTGCTCTCGTAGCCCCGGGGCTCGACCCTTGTGCTTGTATACATAGCTGGCTTCTGTCAGGCTGTCGCATGGGGAAGATGTTCTTAGGAAGGCCTGACTGTAAACACACACACATAAACACACGCCCCGCAGTGTACACAAAACGATTTCCTCA